GATGAGGAAAAGAAACAAACAATAAAAGAAGCAGAGGAAAAAACAACAACACAGTAAAAGACAGACTCACTATACCATAGTAATAACATTATAATTACTGGTGATGAGGCAAGCAGGCTACAAGTGGGGAACATCTCCATCTGTATTCTCCGTTGGACTAAAATTCTTTGATTCAATGGAAGATTGTTTTCTGGTACTCTTTTCGGCTTCACTAATTCTTGTCACTTAAAGATCAATGTTTTGGATTTCTGTATCAAAGCAACAATTTTTTTTTTTACTTTCTAAGACTTAAGTATATTAAGTATCTTCCACAGAAGAAAATTAATGTCATGGGGGTCTGTATTTTTTTCTTGAAGTGCAATAAGAAATAACAAAATCAAGACTATGCTGCTTTTAGTATTAAAGATTTAATTGGGTCTTGTGCATCAGCACTAATCTCCAAAGTCTTGAACTTATTAAAATAATACTTGGTTGCAGAGCCTGCAGAAATACTGAACATGTTAAAAAAGCTGTACATTCTGAGATTACACATGCCCATGCAAATCTCAGCCCACAAGTGAATGTGATATCTGACTGAAGTTAAAGGGTACTAAATGTCCACTAGGCCCCTGAATCTCCCTTCTCTGTGGTTGCATGATATAAGCTGTAACTTAGGCACTTGACACTGAAGGCTTTTCTATGGCTTGTTTCCCTTTCTGCATTCAGAAGTCACATGTGACAGATGCAGAGCTACGGATAACCACTCTTTCTTTTAGGGGCAAGGTTAAAACACTGAAGTGACACTGTGGTGTACGGTTTTAACATACAAGAGGTAAGAAAATCAGAATTACAGCTCTAGGGCTACCCTATCCCCTAATACATTTAGGTTTTGCATGCAAATACATAATGAAGCAGAATTGGTTACGGTTCCCATGGGAACCATAACTGATTTTCCTGACCTGTGCAGCAAAATTGTTAACAACATTGAAAGATTAAAAATTCTGCATTCATAGATTTTTTCCTCTCTCTGAGGCACCCTCCCCCCAGGCTGGCTAACTCTTCTCTTCCTCAAGTTAGGGATAAGTGGTCAATCAATTACAAACAGAAAGTTCAGACTTTCACCTTGGTGAAATCTTTTAAAATAGCTTGTTATCATACAACATAGAGGAAGCACGCCATTGCACCTCTAAGCCAGGAGTTAATGCAAGTTTTTAATATAACTCAAGCTGAGTGAACTAGTAATCATTTCAGTAAATTTAAGAACAGGTCTTTTGAGTTTGTTATAAAGCAGTTGTTCTGCTATCCAAATTTTGAATTGTATATTTTTTGCTTACTTCCCCACCTCAAACTCAGATGTATCTCACACTATACTTTTTCAGTTCTGTTTTTCACAAAACTATATATCATCATTAGTTGAATGGTAACCAGCAACCAACTGCCCTTAGAAGTCCATATTTTAATGTCAAGCAAAGCTTTACAGGACTTGAGATCCATGAATGCATCATTAAAATGGTCCAGGAAGGGTTGACATCTGATAATCTCTGCTCCTATGAAATTCAAAGAAACTGTTATTTGTTAAAAATCATTTCAAAAGGCATCTTAACTATGCCACATCATTTCTCAATAATATTACTTTTCATCTGTAAAAACTGCCTTTTCTCAGGCAATTAGTTTTCTCTAAATACACTGGGAGAAATTAAATCAGTACATGATTTCAATTTTATTTTTTACATGTATGATGAATTACATGGTGTGCTGAAAGGAAGCTAAAAAAATCCTTAGTATTTTCTACTGTAGGACAGATGAAATAGTACAGAGTCCTTTCACACTTTTTTTCCCAACACGTCTCTTTAGAAATGGCAGATTTATTAAAGCCAATGTCCTTTCTAGTAGCCTTACTTTCTGGATCTGAAATTTTGGTCAGAATAATGCTGGGGAGGGGAGATGTGGATGTATCTTTTAAATGGAGATGCCAAGTTATAGGTTTGAAGAAAAATATGTTGATTAAATCCTTATATACTTTAGGTGTGCATGAACTTACCAATGTAGTTTTATTGGAGGCCATTTTTATTGCAGACTTGCAGAGCTTTTACTAGAAAAATGCATGACAATTAAAAGGAAGTTTGCATAACTCAAAGAAAGGCATCCCAAGACAAACATGGTCCTTGTTCCAACCCCCATGTATTCACTGCATATAACATTTCTTATACGGATTAAATCCAGAACAAAAAGTAGGTTATTACTTTGTCTGGCAGTAACAGTAACGCACCATTACACTAGCCAGGATAAATGATACTGACAAGGTGGTAGATAGGGTTAAAAAAGGTTTTTCCCGAGGCCTTCAAAGGCTTAGAGATGTTTCTAGGGAAAAGGGGGAGGACCATCAGGGATGCTTATTTCCTTAAACCCAACAGAACAGGATTTCAGATTCTAGCAGTTGGAGATATACCTAAGGTATATTAACTGCGAATCTGGTGGGGAACAGCTACGTATCTGTAGTGTAATGAATCACCCACTACTCTTACATGATAGCAAATGCTTATAAACAGCAAATATTTATCTTAATGCAACTATAACGTTGCCTTCTAATTCTCACGTTTGCAAAAGTTAAGGTCCTAGAGCAATATTAACTCAGCTAAGCCATACATACTACATAATTAACCTACGCAAATGATGTTGAACACAATTCATTCCCTTTTCCATGTCATTTCTCATACCGACCAGATCCTTAGGCACGTATTGTCCCCACCCCACTGCGAGCTATAGAACTGTTAGAATTCCCCATTTGCCTGGGCAAGGCAAAAGAGAAAAGTCCTTCAAGGCCAGAATACCTCCCGGACTCAGTAATCCCGCCCAGTCCTCCCCTTGACAGGGGAGGTGGATTTTGGCAGCCACATAGGCGGTGGGGTAGGCGAGGTGGGAGAAGGGCAGGGGCCAGGGCCCCAGCGCGAAGACTCTTGCCTTGTGTCCCCCCTCTTGAAAGGCAGGAGAAAAGGGAACCCCCCCCAACAAAACCAGTAACAAATCCTCCGTCAGAAAACAGGCAGCCCTGCGGAGGCCTGCTGGGGGCGGCTGCGCCTCGGGCCTGTGGCGGGCGAACATGAGGCTGGCGGGGCCGCCCCGGGCGAGGTAACGGGGCCGGGAGAGGGGACCCTGGGCCGCTCCCGCCCCCGCCACCAGGGCCCCTTCCACGCCGTCCCCTTGCCCCCGCCCCGCCACGTTTCTCCCGGGCCCGGCAGGGACGCAGGGACGGCCGCGGGCCGGCTTTGTCTGCCGCGCTGGTGCTGGTGCCGGTGCCGCTGCCCCCGCCCCCGGCGCTGCCCTCCTTCCCCGCGGCGGCAGCGCCCGCGGCTCCGGGGGCCTCCCTCCCTTCCTCCCTCCTTCTCTCTCTCCCTCGCCGAGCGGGCGCCGGGGCCGCGACCCCCCGGCAGCCCCGCTCCGCCCGCCACCCCCCACCGCCAAGGAAGTGGGGGGGGAGGTGGGTGGGCTGCGCTCCGCATCTCCCCGCGACGGCCCGCAGCAAGCCGTAGAGGGAAGAGGAATCAGGGAAGAGGACTCGGGAGCGGGTGGGGTGGAAGGAGGCGGCTGCAGCGAGAGAAAATAGGGAGAGAGAGAGAAGGATACAGACTTCAATGGCGCCCAGCCGCTTGGGTCTCCCGTCTCCTCCTCGCTCCCGCCCTGCGCGCACTGAGCGGCGGCGGCAGCAACAGCGACATCCGCGGGGGGCTGAGGCAGCGGGTGGGGGCAGGGAGGGAAGGAGGGAGGGCGGGGAGCAGCGCGGCGGCGGCTGGCGGGGCTGGGCTGGGCTGGGCGAGCACTGCGCGCCGGCGGCTGTGACGGGGCAGAGCGCACGACGCCGCCACCGCCTACGCGCGAGCCGCTACAACCTCCGACCGTCGTCGCCGCCGGCACAGGAGGGGGGCCAAGACGTCTCTCCAACGCGGGGCGAGCGCAGGACCGCGCCAGGCGTCCAAAAGAAGGAAGATGCCTCGCGGCGACAGGGAAAGCGACTGGGTGAGGTGGGGGGAGCGGAGCGGGCCTGCGGACCCCGGCCGCCATGATGGCCGCCGCCGCCGGGAGTCCGCGCCGGGCCGGAGCCGCCCCCCACCGCGGAGCGAGGGCCTCGCTCGTTTGGAGGGGCCCGTGTGGAGCGCGGCCATTTCCCGCGTTGCGCTGGGGAGGCCCGGCCCTAAGCGAGGGGCGGGGGTAGGGAAGCGGGTTCGGAAAGCAGCGGGGCTATGGGGCTCCAAAACTCATTCATAAGTGGAAAAAAGGGTCGGGGAGCCAGATTCGGGGAGGCTTCTCTGCGGGCGGAGGAGCCGCGGGTGGATCCGCGGTGGAGCTGAGGGGGAGGGGGAGCAGAGGGGGCGGGAAGAAAGGAGCCTTTCCAGCGCCATTTCTCTCGCGCGCCGGGCGGCAGCACTCACCCTCTGCTGCGGTGTGTGCGGGGCCGCCAGAGGGAGAGAGAGGGAGGGAGGGGATGAAGGAGGGGAGGAGAGCAGAGCGCCGGAGCAGGCAGTGTGCCCGATACCGGCGGTGCGGGGTAGAGCGGAGCGGACTGTGGCGAAGTCCGCCTCCCTCCGCCGGGACCCCGCGATGTGTCGGCGCTGGTGCCAAAATGTGTAGTTCGCATTTCCTCCTGCCCGGGTGGAGGGGGAAGGGGCAGGGGCCAGGGCGATATTTCGGGGGTACGCTGCGCCCGCCCGCTCCCTGCCAGTACCACGCGTATAGAGGGGCACTGCGGCGCCGCCTCCGGCTAATTATAACCCGAGCTTTGAGCCTTCGGGTCCACTCGGCAATTTCCGGAAAAATAAAATAAATAAAAAAACCCAAAAACCAGCCGTGACACGGGGCCAGCGGTGGTCGGGGCCGCTTCGGCTCTGCTCGAGCACGTCTCGCGAGCCTGTTCCGTTGTCGGAAATTGCCGAGCGGGCCGGGGCAGTCGATAACTGGCTGCGTCTCTCTGTCCGGAAATTGCCGAGCGGGCGCGGGGCGCCATTTTTGCCTGCTTCGGCAGGTTCCGGAAATTGCCGAAGTGAGCCGAATGGGCTTCCGTTCCCCGTTCGGCTCTTTCCGGCGGCTGTCGAAGCGCATAAGCTCGACGACGACGGCTTCTTCGGCTCATTCCGGAGACGGCCATTACTAACGGAGTCGATGACTTTTCATTGCGCGATAAAAACACGTAGGGGCGTTATACAGAACTGCCGCCCCTCTGGAGACATTTAAGCTCCAGATTCTAGCTTTTTTTTTTTTAATTAATTAATCCATAATATCGGAAGCGAGCCCGGGCTGAAGAAGGAGGGCGCTAGCTCTACGCGGAGCTGAATTTCAAATTACGTAACAGTTCAGGCAGCCATTACCGACCAGTTGTACGGTACTCTCGAGCAGGAATACGTAAACCATGAAGAACATGGTACGTAGGAAGGGAGGATTCAGAGTTTGTTTTTAAGGAGGGAGGCGCATTTGCTTCTGCGGGAGGAGTGAATTTTTCCGGGGCTGGGCATTACTAGCAGGCTTGAGTCTTTGTCTGCGCGGGTCTTGGCGCCGCCGCCGGGTCGCACTGCGGGTCGGGCGCTGGGTGTCTGCGCGGAGGAAGGTTCTGGAAGGGGCGGCTGGGGCTGACGCGCAGCCGGGCAAGGCAGCGGAAGCTGCGGTAACCGCGCATGGTGAAAAGCGCATTCTTAAGCAGTGGCCGCGCTGCCCTGAAGTGTCGTCGGAGGAGGGGGACGCGGGACTCCGGGGGTCGGTCGGTGGGCGGGCCGGGGGCCGCCTTGGCCTCGCGAGCTGCGGAGCGGCCGGGGCGGTGCAGTGGGTAATGGCGGTGCCCAGGGGGAGGGGTAAAATGGCGGCCTGGCCGAGGATCGCAGCTGCCAGGGGCTGGGGGGGTCGCTACGGGAGAGCGGGCGAGGCGGTGGGGGAAGCTGTAGTCGTTCGGTATCCGTGGGGGCGGGAAGGAGCGCCGGAGAGGTCTTCCTGGTGCCGGGTGTGTAGCTGCACGCTGGAAGCGCTTTGCAGCCCTGTCCTTGGAAGCGGCGGCTGCTCCCGGGCGCCATTTTCCCCGCCCGGCTCCGGGCCGCGGTGTTCCTGCTGCCGCCACATGGCGGAGCCGGCGCGGCCGCCACGTCCCGCCCGCCTCAGGCGGCGAGCGGGGAGCCGGGCCGAGGAATTGCGGAGCTCTGGAGTTTTGGGATCCCCTATCGCTTATCTCTGTCAAACAATTTTGTTACCCTAGTTAGTAATGCTGCGGTCGTCGTAGATGTGTGCGCCCACGTTATTGCTATATCAGACAGGTTTCCTTGCTTCGGTGATTCATACTCCAGTAAAGGCTGTGCGTTTTCTAGTCCTTTCAAGTGTTTCTTTAAGCCTGTGAAGGAAAACTTAAAATGCATACAAATGAAGATTCTGCAGGGGTTGTAAAGATTTCCTCTCGCAGTCCGTTCCTGCCACAGGGTGTATTGTAGAAATCTTCAAGGAAGTGTTTGCTCCAGTTTTTATTTCGTAGGCCTTGGTAGACATGGAGTATCGATGTGTTTTTACCAAATGAAGATTTCCCTCAGGATTTTTAAGAGGGACAGGGACTTGAGCGATGATAATTATCGTACATTTTAAACCTTCAGCATAAGCTTTACGCGGTCAGAGCTCTCTGGACCCTGGTGGGAGGTTAATGTTAGGTTACCAGAGCTTCTTCAAACTGACAGCACTTTAAACGAATAGATTCTCCACTCTCAGAGGCTGTGTGTGTGTGTTAGTGGAGCAGCATGTTTATGTTGGTTTTGCACAGTGATTTTCATTAAAGTACTGGTAATAAATTTTGTTATTGGTGTGTCCTGAGACGTGGTGCCTAGATGTCGTTCTGGGTGAGGTATGACACTGAATATATCTGTAAAGTGTATTACTGATCTGTTCGATGTTAGTTAGTAATGTGTGGTACGTTTTGTCATTGTTCCGGCTGATAGGTTCCATTCTTTCCTTGAATTTTATTTACGTGTTTATAACTTTTCAGAGGTGAACCTAATACTTGTTGGAAAAAGCCTAGCAGCCTACTAAATGTGCTTGATTCTCATATTTGTATAATAATGTGCATTATTAAATACATGATAATTGATTGTATAGGAAAAAGTGTCTTTTGTGAGCTTATGAAACAGTAACCACGTGGTCCCTAATTTTTAGGCAGCAGAACTGAAGTAATTTCAAGGGAGGATTTTTTTTGCAATATTATTGCTTAAAAAGTTTTCTTTGCCAGCTTACTCAAATTAAAAAAAAATATAGTATAACAGGCAGCATATGGGGGTTTTTAGCCCAGATCTGGTATGCAGTGTTCTTTATTTCTTTTATGAGATGAGGCAAAAGGAAATGACATGACATAAAACATAGGTTTGCTGCTTTTAAACTTTCGTGTGTCATTTTACCTGTCTGTAGAAGGAGGTGACAGTACTAGTTTTGTCCATGTTCCTAGAAGAACAAATATTAGATCCAACAGCAGATTACAAGTGTTTTCAAGAGACATTTAAACTGGCGGTTCTCAAATATCTAGATCCAGGCCTGCCTTGAACAACCTCAGAAAACATGTTGGTCTGCATGCAGGTTGGCTTAATACTACTAAAAGCATATGTGCGCTGAGGTATTATGCTTGTTTTCTAAGTCTCATTGTTTATCTAGTTTCCTTTTATCCATTTACCTTATTGTCCCATGTGTAGTTGGTCATGTTGTGTTTGCCAGTTACAATTTTCTGTGCCTTGTTTGGGTTTTTAAAAAACCAACAACCCCCTAAAGGAAACCAAAACACCCAGGCAGATTTTCTCGATTTTTAAAGTTATATGTCAGCATAAAGCTAAAGTCATCATTGCTTTTGAATTCTCTTGTCCTTAGCAGGACAGTTTTCTTTAAAACAACATTCAGAAATCAAAAATTCTGTGAAAAGGGAACAACTTTTTAGTGCATTTTTAAATTGCTTGACATGAAATTGTAACAGGTACGAGCTAGTGATACTACTGTGTGTAGAAAATGCTAATTACAATGCATGCTTGGTATATAAACCTGCTATAAAAGTGTTTTGAAATGATTGGAAGGTTGTCCTTCCTGCTTTGGTATATGACTACATATGAAAGAGTAAATGTAATACAGTATTACTGGTCCATTTGTGTTGGGTTTTTTGGAGTTTTTTTTATGATGTCCTTGTCATCGCAGCAGTTTTCTGCTGAACAAGTGCAGTGATGGTTTCTCTGTAAGGTAATAAAGTCTTATTGGAAGCATGATTTATATTAGTGGATACAAATGTATATTATTCACAGTCTGTTTTAAGGGGAGTTGTTTTGATACTGCTGCTGTTGAGGTGGAGAGGTTTGCTGCTAATTCCAATGGTGTGGGATCCCAGATCAATTTTACAGATGCTCTGACTCCATTTGTTTTAATAATTATGGAGAAAATATCAATTGTTGACCTGTTTTAGAACATTTTTAGTTGTATTTTGTTTATTTTTACCTTTATTGCTTTGGGTAAATAGTATAGTAGTGTTCATGTACAGCAGTTTGAGCCAGAACGGTTTTTAAAAATAAATGTCACCTAGAATAGAACTGGACAGTATGAACGATTTTGTTTTCTGTAGTGAGAACTTTGAGGTTTGTTTTTATGTTCCTTTTCTTTAAAAAGCATCTCATAAAGGTCTTTGAGAGGAATGTTCTGGAAGTCTTCGAGTGTGCTCCCTTGTTTTTGATACTGGGAGGGAGAGACAGGAATAAGCACACTAATAAAATCTGTACGGTAAAAGTGGACCTGTAGAATTGCATAAATTGTTTAATTTTTTTTAGTGGGGTGGAACATTTAGAAGAGTCAATTTTGATTTTGGAAATAAGACTTAACTAAAAGTTTTTGACACTTATGAAAATCTTGGTGTTTAATTCGTTGATGAAAGAGAGGTATTTTTAATTATATTCATGTAATCTTCTTTTCTGTGGCAGAGGGAAAAGGAGCAGTTCCGCAAACTGTTTATTGGCGGCTTAAGCTTTGAAACCACAGAGGAAAGCTTGAGGAGTTACTATGAGCAATGGGGAAAGCTTACAGACTGTGTGGTAAGTTTGACATACTAATACACAACAATGGCATGGAATGTTTAGGAATTTTACATGTTTGTTTTCTGGATAGCTTAATGAGAATATGGAATATTAGATTTTCTTAAGTGTCCAGTTTGGTTTATACAGAAATCAGTCCATGGAAGCAATGCATAGATTTTTCCCTTGCAAACTCTGTTGATAGGGTTAGGGAGCATTTACAATCTGTTTCCTGTAAAATCTTCCCAGACTATGTAACCACTGATTCCAGCAATTTAACACTGGTGTCATTGGCTGAAGTGCATAGGAAGTGCTCACACAGAGCACAGTTACGTCTGTGTGATTGGTGACATTTGGCAGAAAGCTGCTATTATGGTAAGCAGTGTTGATAAAGCTGGAAAAGGATGTCTTTCTCTGTGATGTTTTCATAGAGGCATTTAGGTTGGAAGAAACCCTTAATATTATCAACTGCCCAGCCCTATCAACTGCCCAACCACTGAACAACGTTCCTAAGCACCACGTCTGTGTGTCTTTCAAATACCACCAGGGATGGTGGCTCTCGTAGAAGTTCTTCCACAGAATTTGTTTTGGGAGTACTAAATACCTGTTTCATAACACAAATTTAAAGTTTGCGGTCTTCAGAAAGCTTAAAAGAAATTATGGGTATGATTTTTTTTTTATTTTAGAAAAAACACATAAGTATAGATGTACCTCACTGATCTAGCAGCATTTCTGAGTTAACAGATAGAGTCTTGTAGGGCAACAGTGGTTTGAATTTCTGTGATGCCAAGCAGTGCCATTCATGTTAAATCAGCAGAGCCTGCTGCTTTATTATCATTGTGTTTCAAAATTAAGTCAAGGAAAACCTAAATTAAGTTTACGCACTTTCTCCAAATACTGTTATTGTAAAGCTTAAAATGACACAGGTATAAAAGGTTTAAATGTGTTTATTGGTTTTAGGTAATGAGGGATCCTGCAAGCAAAAGATCAAGGGGGTTTGGTTTTGTAACATTCTCTTCCATGGCTGAAGTTGATGCAGCTATGGCTGCAAGACCTCACACAATTGATGGAAGGGTGGTTGAGCCTAAGAGAGCTGTGGCTAGAGAGGTAAGTATGGCTTTGAAAGTAGATACTTAACCTGATTTGAAAAAAGATTTCTGTTTTGGTCGGACACTTAGGCTTTGTTCTTGTTTGAAATTGCCATGGTTTAAATTCTCTAGTTGAAAGGCTATAGTTGGGGCACTATTTCCCACGCTTTTGGTCGGTTAATTGACGCAATTACATAAATGTCTGTAATTACAGTGAATTGTGAAGGTACTCTGGCTGTACTATTCATGTCTGCAAGGGATTCATCTGAGGTCTGAAAGTAGTGTTAGCAAAAACATGTTGAGTGCCTGTAATTATGGAACTGTTCCTAAGCCTCAAATTAATAAAAGTCCTGTCAGTCCTTTTCGATTATTCCAGGATCATTTTGGGGTGTTTCTAAAAGGTATATAGTAAGTGACTAAAAGTAGAAAATGTAGTAGGGAAACTTTTTTTCTGATGTACAGAATCATCTTTGGACTGTGCTGGTTTTAGCCCCAGGCATACTTGATTTTCAAATTCAGGGTACAGAGCAGGTGTGTTCACAGAAATGCAGTGAACCTGTAAGCCAGGTTATGGTGGTTCAGAGGTACTTGGTGAACAAGTGTGGATTATAAAGCAAGTTCTGTTTACCACGTTGGACTCAGGTGTTTAGCATATTTGGACTAATGAGCTGGAATTAAATGAGCTGTCCCAAAGGTATGGGGAAGTGGAATTTGTAATCACCGGTACCTCTGTTAGCTATTCCAGTTTTCTTTCCATTCCCTGCAGAATGCAAGGTTGGTTAACATTTGGAAAAAGGTAATTACAGCAGCATATGTGCATAGTGCTTATACACACAAAGCTCCTGCTAAGCTTCAGGACTAAGTCATTCTTAGGTAGTGCAGCAGCTTGGTTATCATGCTCAAAGTGCAGAAATAGCTCAGGAATATTTGGAGTTGCCTTCGTATTTTAAATAGGGATTAAAAGGCACAGTTGTTAATTTGCAGAGGTTGAAAGACGTTTTTATGAGTAAAAAATGGTTCACTGCTGTTGGGGAATTGGGCAGAGGAAGCTGATGTATCTTGGTTTCAGTTATAAAAATCATGCTCTAGCTTAAGTTATTAAATACTTCCATGCAGTTGATCCGTATATGTTTTAGTGCTTTTAAGGCTTTTTTAAGGGGGGAGGAAAAACCTCCAAGTGACCCTGTGTTGCTTCCCTAACAAGGTTGCCAGGGGCATGTATCGGGAGAGAGCTGTACCTCAGTGCTTGAAAAATCCTAGTTTATCAGTATTCTATCCTGAAATCCTGGCAAAATAGTAATTTGTGAAATTGTTTTTCTTTATGCTAATTTAAAGAGTTCTTTTAACAGGAATCTGGAAAACCTGGTGCTCATGTTACTGTGAAAAAACTATTTGTTGGTGGTATTAAAGAGGACACTGAAGAGCACCACCTTCGTGACTACTTTGAAGAGTATGGGAAAATCGACACTATTGAAATCATTACTGATAGACAGTCTGGTAAAAAGAGAGGGTTTGGATTTGTTACATTTGATGACCATGATCCTGTGGATAAAATTGTATGTGAGTAAGCTTCATTTCATTCATTCTTTTAGTAGTATTAACCCTTGCAGTCTTGGTAATTGTGTAGAACTAAACTTAAAGAGATAATGATTCTGTTATGGTATATGTCATACGATATAAGTTATGTACTGTATATTTGCTACATCGTGGTTTTGGTGAATTTTGTGGGAACGTGTATTTCAAAGAAGTATTGTTGTCTTTGTTTAGAAATTGTATGGTGTTTTGTATTCTTTTAAATGATTCTGAGTGTATATGGATTGGAAGTTTGATGCTCTTAGTTGTTGCCAGATCAGTACTTATATGCTGATAGTATCTTATTTGATATGGTTACAGTGCAGAAGTACCACACCATCAATGGCCATAACGCAGAAGTAAGGAAAGCTCTCTCTAGACAGGAAATGCAGGAGGTTCAGAATTCTAGGAGTGGGAGAGGAGGTACGTAAAAGTAGTGGTTTGTGGTTGATTTTTGTGTTTACTTTCCGTGACCTCACTCCTTACAAATGTTAAACTGTTACAGGGAACTTCGGTTTTGGTGATGCTCGTGGAGGCGGTGGCAACTTTGGTCCAGGACCTGGCAGCAATTTCAGAGGGGGAGCCGGTAAGACAGGCATGTTTGTAGCATTTATTTTTTTTTACCTTACTAATACTGTCTTTCTGGTTTTGGGTAACTTCGTAAGTTCTGCTGCTGTTTAATATAATGCAGTTGTAGCAGTTAGACATTTTTCGGGAAAAATAATTTGCAAATGAAGTTTTGGGGGTTTTTAAGCTTCTGTTGAAAGCCAGAAGTAAACTAAACTTAATCATCTTGTTTGTTAAAGAATTCAGAGACTTCTCTGATTCTGTGCAACACTTGCCTGACCTTTTAAAATTGGATATTGTATAAATGCAAGAAAAGGAAAAATTGATTAAACATTGATTGGATGTATGTGTATTGAAGTCAAGTGTACCTGTCCTTAATTTCTGAGATTTGGTTCTTAAGGTCATAGGGCTTTGAGAATTCAACTAGATTGGTTTTTTTTCTTCCAATAGATGGGTATGGAAGCGGCCGTGGATTTGGTGATGGATATAATGGATATGGCGGAGGACCTGGAGGTTAGTTTACTGTTGTGGTGATTGTTTTTCTCTCCCTCAGAAACACTTTTATATTTATTTAGTGTTTGTATAAAATTCATATTAATTGCCTAAACCATTTTTTGTCTTTAAGACGCTTACATGGTTGTTGGCTCGTGTTAAACTTTCATATGGTTATTTCGTGGACAGCCATGCCCTTTTCTGTATAATAGGAGTGTGTCTTAAATTTCCTAAAAAAACAAAGATTTTAATTAAGCCTATCAGTGAGGCTTTTAGGCAGTCTGTCTTGTGGGGTTTGATCATGGTCCAGTTATGGTGAGGGTTGGTATGTGCCTCTAAGAATACTGTTCATAGAAATTTCTTTCCAAAACGACATTTTTTTTTCCCTGTAGACTTCTAAACACAAGAATAGCCTTTATTTCTGTATAATTGGAGTGCCTCCTACATTGAAAAGTTTATTTTAAAGGATTGTGTTGTCACAGGTGGCAACTTCGGTGGCAGTCCTGGTTATGGAGGAGGAAGAGGAGGATATGGTGGAGGAGGACCTGGATATGGCAACCAGGGAGGGGGCTATGGAGGTGGTTATGACAACTATGGAGGAGGTAATGTTTAGGCTTGGAACATCCAAGCATTTGAGTTTAAATTAGTGCAAATAATTTGAAATTGGGGCTAGAGGTATTTATATAGTTACCTGAGGAAGCTGTTGTTTTCCAGATAGTATGACATAGAATGAAAACACTGTTTGTTGCATGCCCTGCTGGAATGCCTATGTAATTTCTTACTTTATTAAAAATTCTAATAATGAGGTAACTTAGTGTTGTATCTGTTTTAGTTCATCTAGATATTTCTTCACTTTTGTATTGATAATGCAGGCAATTATGGAAGTGGGAACTATAATGATTTTGGAAACTACAACCAACAACCTTCAAATTACGGCCCGATGAAGAGTGGAAATTTTGGTGGCAGTAGAAACATGGGGGGACCATATGGTGGAGGTATTGTATATATGCCCTGACTTTCCTTGTAGCCAGAGTGGGTGGGCTTTTAGTCCTTTGGAGAAATAGAAAGGAAGATAGGACATGTTTTGAACTAAAGAGAGGGTATATTGGGATTAGATTTTGGGAAACTATCTTTTACTGTGAGGGTGGTGAGGCACTGGAACAGGTTGCCCAGAGAAGTTGTGTGTGGCCCATCCCTTGCAGTGTTCAAAGCAAGGTTGGACTGGGCTTTGAGCAACCTGGTCTAGTGAAAGATGCCCCTGCCCATGACAGAGGGCTTGGAACAGGATGAAAGGTCCCTTCCAACCCAGGCCATTCTGTATAATTCCAAGAGTGACGTGTAGAAATTGGGTAACTTCTGCAATAGATAGACTGCAGTGCTCATGTTCTTTCTGCAAGTTGGCTACAGTTTCCCATCTTAAAACTGCAAAGCCTGTCTCAGGGATAAAAGATAGAAACTTGCTCTACAATGTTTTGCATTTTCCAATCTGCAAATATTTTAGTTGTTACACTTTGTAGAGAGTGTAGTTAATCACCACTGGTCTTGTTGGGATTTCTTTTTTCTTTCTTCTTCTTGTGTAATTTTTTTCCTGACACTTCCTGTTTTTTGTTGCCTAAATGTTGTTTAATATAGCATGTAAAGCTTGTGAAATGGAAACTGAAACATAAGACCCTTTCTTGTAAGGTTCAGCATGCAAGTACAGTCAGCCCTCACAGGCTCAAGACAGGACAGTGTGTCAAATTACATGTAACACTGTTGAATCTTTTAAGATTTTGGCATGTAGTTCCTTCCTGTGAAAGTCTTTGGAGGTTAGTTAGTGGAAGACAGCGAAATGTTAAAGTCTTTGTTGTATATGCTGTTTCTGGAAGTAAAGTAGATGTTAATGTTCATTCAGTCAAGCTTTGATTGATTGCTTCAGTCAAAAGCATTCCTAGATTTGAGAAGTGTACTGATGGAACGATTCGGTTTCTTGTTCTGCAATTGCAGGAAACTATGGTCCAGGAGGCAGTGGAGGAAGTGGTGGATATGGAGGGAGGAGCCGTTACTGAGTTTCTTCAAGCATACCATGGGTAAGTATGTTTATAAGTGTTAAAAATGCAGTGATTCTTGAGAGTAGCTGCAGGAGTTTAAAGCTTTTTAGGATATTGTCTTTCCTTTAAAAAATGGTTAGATGAATAATTTCATAACCTATTTTTTTACTCTTTACTTCTGTTGAAACAGGCTTCACTGTATAAATAGGAGAGGATGAGAGCCCAGAGGTAACAGAACAGCTTCAGGTTATCGAAATAACAATGTTAAGGAAACACTTATCTCAGTCATGCATAAATATGCAGTGGTATGGCAGAAGACACCAGAGCAGATGCAGAGAGCCATTTTGTGAATGGATTTGGATTATTTAATAACATTACCTTACCGTGGAGGAAGGATTGTAAAAATGCCTTTGAGACAGTTTCTTAGCTTTTTAATTGTTGTTTCTTTCTAGTGGTCTTTGTAAGTGTAGAAGCATTCCTTTGATAATGTTAAATTTGTAAGTTTCAGGTGACATGTGAAACCTTTTTTAAGATTTTTCTCAAAGTTTTGAAAAGCTTTTAGCCAGGATCATGGTGTAATAAGACATAACGTTTTCCTTTTAAAAATTTAAGTGCGTGTGTAGAGTTAAGAAGCTGTTGTACATTTATGATTTTAATAAAATAATTCTAAAGGAAATATTGTGTAATTTTAGATTTTTTTTTTAATACTGTAAAATAAGGCAAGGAGTGGGTAGTATAAGGTCCCACAAATAATATAAAGCTTTTGTTGTACGTGTAAACTAAATGCTGGTCAGAAAAAGTATGTTGTCTGTAAATGATCAGGTGTAAAATATCTAGGTAACTTAAGGGGTATCTCTGCAAGGAGAAACACCTTTTTAGATTTTTTAGATGCTGCTTCTTCAATGGCAAGGGAAGGAAATAACCCCAGCAAGGTACTCCTCCAGGGACACAGGTCTAGTACAAGAGAACTCTTGAAAACGTCACTAAGTTCAGCCAGTCTTAAAAAGCTGTGCTGTATTTCTGCAAAGCTTTAACTACAGTAGTTGATTAATAAGGATGCCAACGAAGGCTGAGGGTGTAGAGCAAAGTAGTTCTAAGCTTCAGTTAAACTTCTTTAGGTAAGATCTTATTTACTTTTCCTTTCTTAATGTATCAAAACCAAATCTAATATTGTCTGACAGTATTCTTTCAGCATAGTGATTATCGTTATTTAGTTTAACATAGCAATTAATTGAGTTAACAATTACAAATTGAAAAGAAATTTGTGAATCCTGTTTTCTTGTATTAAATTTTTTACAAACAAATTTTTGTTAATTTCAGCTACTTAACATATTTTTTTCCTACTGGAATCTAGCTATGATATGAACCCTGGACAAGCATAGACTGCTGCCACTGTACACTGCTACAGTTGAACAAATGAGACCTGCAAGTGTCCATTAGTAAAGCTTTGCAAGGGTTCCATCCCTGGTGTTGGTAGTTAAAATGGTAGGTCACAAGTTAATTAAATCATACAACTTTATTTTTGCATCCTGCAACATTTTCTTTTTTCTTGGGAGTCTATGCATTATGGTGGTTGCAAGGTAATGCAATGAAGGTAGTTCTGTGCTGTTGAAAATGAACTATGTTGTTTTGTGTCTTGTCTGCTGTAATCTATTTTATATAACACGTTTCATCCTGAAGGTTCCCAAGTAACTGTAGACTGTTTACGTGTAAGGAAAAAAATTGCACCACAGAATACATCTGCCTCTGTGAAGGAATGTGTCGTCCATTCTTTTAACAACTGCATAAGCAGTTCTTTAGGAGGGGAAGTGAAAACTTCAAATGAAACTGCAGGTGGTATTTCTTTAGTGTACAATGTGTTTATGTAAATTGGAATTTGGCTAGAACGTTGAGGTTTCCACCATTTTTTATAGTTCTTGCAGCTAACAAACCTTAGTGCCAAATTCAGTCAGCCTTACTCTTACTGCATTGAATGTTTGCACCTCAAATTAATGAAAATTCATCAAGTAATAAACGAGTTACTCAGAGTAAGGATGGCATACTCTAATAGATTTGGTTTTTAAATAAAAATCAAAGAAGCCTATCAAAAAAGGCAACCAAAAAATGCCCTAATTTCAAAGTTCCATTGCCTTTAAAAGGCTACCCACTGAAGAACGTGGACTCAGCTAACAGAAGTCCTGTTCCTTTTGTGTTAGACACACCAGTGAACTGCTTATACTTTTTTTTTAAAAAAAATGGCTGAAGTTCCCCTATTGGTAATTTGGTTTAGACATATGTGATAAACATCTTCAGATACACTTTTTTTTTCTTTGGCAGGAAGGTGCCATGCTGCAGGTAACTAATGAAGAAGTGGTCAACCACAGAAACGCTTCAAGAAATAAGAAATTCTGTATCATCAGAAAATAGTTGTTTTTGCTGCCTTCATTAAAAATCTAGAGGTTAAATGAATACTGATAAAACATCACAATTAGTACAGCTCCCTGTAATGCTGGGTTTTTTAAATTATAGTAATAATGTCTTGTAAACCTTTCGAATAAAATTCAGATTCGTTAGGAGAAACAAATCACTAATGTTAAAATAGCAAACATTCTGTGAGTAGAAAGTTTAACTACATATATTTATAACTTTCATAGCTTTAAAATAAAGTATTTTTTATACCAAAGTAGTTCTAGTGTAATGCTTAATAAAAACTTAGTGTGTATCTAACATTAAATAATGTTTATGTGCAGCTTTTAGACCCTTTCATGATTTGAAACATTCCATTTTGAGGTGAATTTAAAACAGAATCAGTTTGATAAGTGTATTTACAGAACTTGTTTCTCTGACCGTAGGCATCTGTTCTCTGTTGGGAGAAACAGTGCTGCAACTTAAAAATGCTGATCTCTTTGCTGTTGGACACAAGTGCTTAAAAATAGATTTTTTTGGCTGTGTTTGTCAGTTTGTCAAATTGCAATAGGACAGTATCCTTTTCACCTGTAAAGAGCTTTTAGGGTGAAGAGAGAAAGACCAAATGGAATGTAGAGTTCTTGCTGTACCAGAACTGTATTGATAGCTGCATCTGGGGGTGGAAAAAAAACCACCAAAAAAACCCAAACAAAACAAAAACCCTACGAAATCAAACACTAAGTCTGAGCTTGGGAAAACTTCAGTTGGGAATGTATTTGAGGGAAAGTATCTTCAGTTTATACTGTTTTAACCAGTTACCTTCATACGCAGTTCATTCTAAACTTGAAATTTATATGCCGAGCTTTGGCAGAATCATCGTGTCTTTAACCTTCTTTATAATACTGTTTAAGGATTCACATGCAACTTTTTTCTGTTTCTTAAATTGAACTTTAAAATATTTGCATAGGTAACCGGTGGGCTGCAACGGAAGCAGAAAACGAAGATAAAATCTGCTTTACTTTCTTCTTTCCAACAGAATGAGTTGACCAGATCATAAAGAATTTGCCTTCTTTCCTGTAACTTAGATTTAGTTGATGGAAGTTTTTTTCTTTACAGTTGCCAAGTCCACATTCATACAACATTAAAAAAAACCCTAACCACTTTGAAGGGAAGTAATTAATTCTTCTATTTCTGAGATAGTCTTTCAGTAGTTTTACAACAAGGTTTAAAATTTACTTGAATTAAATGTCTTGTATTTTCCATAATGAGGATTTTTTAATTTTGATCTGCTGGCAGTGGGGGAAGGGAGTGTATAATGGGACAGCACTATGCAAAAATGAAGTTAGTGGATATTTAAAGTCTTGAAAACCTGGTGTTTTAAGTTTCCTGATGTCTTACTGTTGAACTTTCATGACTTATCTCTTGGTACCTTCTTAAAAGTTAAAGCAAGTACAGTTGCAGTGTTCACCAGTGAATTTGGTGAAAGAAATCACCATTTTGAGTCAGCCTGATGCTGGAAGTCAGCAACTTCAAATAAAAACAGCAGTGTGTGTGGTCAATTCCTGGTCATCAATTTGTAGATAGAGTGTACTTCTGAATTTCTGTCAAGTTGGGTTTATGTCACTACAGCCTTCGTTTTCAAAGGAAGCGTAACATGTTTCAGTGTACTAACAACTAAGGATCAGGTTGTCAGTACTAGGCCCACTTTTCCCCCAGCAAAAACACTTTCTGCATTAGACTGAGGGAAGAATGAAAAACAACTTGTTGGTAACTGATATGGGAGCCAAAAAATACAGTGGTTGACTTGCACATAAAGTGATGTTGAAAAGGTCAATACTAGGGGTCTGGCCATCGAGACAGTGTTATTTACAATGAAAATTGGATTTTATTAATTTCTGTTGTCCTGCAGGTGGTGAAAACCATTTAGGAAAATATGAACAATTGCTTTTAATATTGTAAAATGAACAGGACTTGAACTTTGTTACGTGTAGGGAAGAAGACTGTATTTTAGGTTTATGATGAATGTACATGATACCTTGGGGATGAAATCATACTACTTCTGGGGAAGAAGAACCAAGCCCCAGAAACAGATACGAATTTTCAAGGAGTTGTCAGCTGAGCGTGTTTTGGCAGCTTGACCACATCAGTGGTGCAGGATGATTTGCTGGGAACATACTGGAACAGTGCATTCTGTGTAGCTGTAGTGTTTCAGTTCGTTTTCAAAGCTGGGTGTGTGATGTGAGCGAAACCCCGTAGTAGTGCTGTTGGGTTTTTTTTCTCCTAAGGTAGATGCCCAGTCCTCATTTATTCAGCTGTACCATTCAGTGTACTAGGGATGTATAGGAGTATTACATGGAAGGGTTTGTCTCGGTTACACTGATCCATTTTTCCAGAAGTTGTCCCTTTTAACAGTCGTGTTCTTGCTTTGCAGCTAGTGTTGATTTGCATTGCAGCAGAAGTTTCAGTGTTGTCAGGAGTTATTCCAGTTAATGGAGAAAGAACTTGTTTATCAGCAGTAAAATTAACAGTATATAAATGGCTGTGTGATTTGCCTTGATAGTGCTGTGAACACATTTGGGGACCATGTAGTTACAAACTATGTGTGACCTCCTCTGTTGCTTCACTATATGAAAAAGTGCGACTGGGGGAAAGTCCTAGACAATTGCTGTTACCAGTATCCCACTTTCCCTCCTTATTTGGTCTGCTTGCTCTTGGTTCATTTTGGGGCATTCATGTGTGAAAGTGAGTGGCTGATGCACTTAATGGAGTTCTAGTAGCTGTGTAGCTGGTGTTAAGTTGCAGCACTTTTACGAGGTACCCTACAGTGATAAGACTTCACATGTGCCATCTCTATTTGGTTTATTTAATAAATAGTTTTTCACTACAAACTGGTGTTGAGTGTCCTGTTGCCTCATTTATAGGCCTCTGCTGACTCTCCTCAAGATTCTTGTTAATACTGTACTTCTGACTCCCATAAGATACAAATGCTGTGTGTGTGTTTTGGGACAAAGATTGACAAACTGATATGAAGCTGCTTTGTCTCTTTATTTCCTCATTGAATTTTTTTTTCTGGTTCTCCCCTCTAAACCTAGATTGTAAGCTCTTGAGCAGGAACAGCCTTAGCTTGTAAAATTTGGCTTTGTAAAAAGCCACATCTGTTGAATAAAACCAAACCCATGAAGCTAAAGCGACACTTCAGCGCGGTGCTGTAGTGGTCATTCAAAGCGTTTGTAGTGTTGGAGCTGTGTGCTGTGACTCCTCAGGGAGGGCTTGTCTGCAGGATGCCTCTCTAGGAGTGTTCAGCCTTACATGTCAAACCATACGGTGCGTATTGCAGTCTAATAATAAAGTACGTGGCTCACATTTGTTTCTGGTTGGATGTTTTTCCTGAAAGGTGTGGATCTAAGAGCAGCCATGCTCTGTAGTGCCCAAGCATGTTGCTTCCAGCACTAACAGAAGTAATATATATGCACTGTGGTATCCCCACCACTCTCTTTTCTTTATACATAATCTGACCTTTTCTGCCTTGAAGATAACTTCTTTTCACTGTTAATGTAATGAAAAATGTAGCGTAGCTGGAAGTGTTACAGGCTACGTAATAGCTTTACCATGGGAACGATATTTTAATGACCAGTCCCACCTTGACATGTCCGTTTTTTTGTTGCTGTATCAACAGCTACGTTTACAATACTCAGCTTTGCAGTGTTCTAATGGTTTTATTGTTCCTGTGTCAGAGAGTTGCTTTTCTACATAGTAAGGTAGGATGCAGCCTTAATAGCTTTTTACATACCAGGTTTGATAATCCATCATGTTTTTACATAATAAAGTTTCTGACTTGTACACTTCAGGTTTTGGTTTCTTGAAAGTTAAGATCTATCAATAATGAAGCCAGGACAGACATCAGTCAGGTGTTACCCACCTTCTACAACCATTTCAGTAGCAAGTTTCTGTTATCAGTCTTCTTGAATAACTCTGTAAGTCCTGTACAGTATCACATTTTTTGTGTATGGGTTGCAAATACAGACTAAGGCCATTACAGGAAGTGTATTAAAAGCTTCAGGCTGTCTGGCCTAACCACCAATCATTTAAGGATGTGAAACTGTAAGGCATAGTCAAGGCTGAGCAATGTTTGGGACTTTGTTGCTTTTTTTTTTTCTTTAAACCTAGGCTAGCTGCAGAAGGGGAAGACACTTCAAAAGCTAACACCAGTTGTTAGGTAATATTAATGGCAGTCTACTCAAGCTGTAAAAACAGGACATTGGTCTGAATTCTACCTACAGTTTTGTGTGTTCCGTGAGCAGATAGTTGAATGTTCAAGAAAATCGTGCAGTACATCTAGACCTAATGCTCAGTGTCTGTGTCAGTGCTGTTACAGTCCGCTCACAACCGGTATTTTGCCTAAGAGGTTTTTGTAAGGGTATAGTAGCTAGTTGAATTCTGAGAAATTGAGATTCACACATTCATTTATTGAACAACAATGATGGTTGAGTTAGTTGAGGGCAGTAACTGTTTCCCAGTTGGGTGTATGTCATTAGCAGCTGGCTTTTGTTCAAGAGTCCACTTGCCACTGCTACTGAAGGAGTGGGCACCAAAAGGCTTAGCCTTTTTTACTTTCTTTTTTTTTTTTCCTCTGCCCTTGTGAGGCCCCAAAACAACTACTTGGCTTTCTGGATTTATCAGTTACGAGTCTAATCTAGTATCAGAATTTGTGCACATGGGAAAAGAAATAGGCTTAAAGGCCTAGTCCTGCAAAAGATAAGTGCATGGACTTTCAAATGCTTATTATGTCATTTAATTAAGAGATTGCAGTCATGCTGACTCAAATATGTACCTTTTCCCCC